GAACAGAGGATCATCGATAATGAAAACACGTGAAAGTGTTATGTTTTACGATGTTGAAGATTGTAAAACCAAGTGTTCACTTTAAACAAACAAGGAATCAACAAAGTTTAGTAGAGGCACAGTATATAGATATGTTTGAACATCTGGGCACAAACACATCATATCAATTTGAACACAGAAGATGGTATAGAAATAAACAAATAAACACAAATTTTGGTTTTGAACTGAAAAACTTGAAAATTATTTACGATCAATTGTTAGAAATGCCGAAAAGTTAAATTGGAAGTTAACTAACGCCGATTAGGAGCAAGTATTTCAACAGTCTGATCAAGTTTGTGATAGTCTAAAAACTTCATAACTTTATTCGTAACAAATCGCTCCAAAATATATAAATATGTAAACACATAAATATGCATTTATTTTTATATTTATTTAAATATATGTATAATTCAGTTAAAAAATGTTTAAATTCAAAAGATATAAAATAAATACTTTAAATCAATTTTATTCACTATTTTCCCCACTGCACTTATGGTTTTCCAGTATTTATAAACTTCATCAATATCCATTTTCTGGAAGTTTCAAATATTTAGCCATGTGATTATGAGTGTATACAACTGATAGGATTGAAGCATTCATTGAAATAGCTAACAAAACATCATCAGTAACAATTTGTACTTGTTCGTTCTTACAACTCTCATCTGCTTTTTTGCTCCAAATTTTGTGATCATTTTGTTACTGCCTGTTCTAGTTTTAGTTCTTTTCAATTTTCACTTGACTCCAAATTAGTCTTATGCGAAATATCCAATTTAATATCCACATTTCCCATTAACTGCCACATAAAATTCATTGAATGCTTTTGCTTCAGAGCATATTTTGCTTCTGTAAAATCAATAATATTTTTTAATTGCACTTGTTTTAAACCTTTTGAATCAATTGTATCAGTTTCGACCTTTACTTTTAATCAAGCTTTTTTGCTAGCGTTGTTGCTTCATAACGAAAACTTAAATTAGATCGCAAAAGTA